GTTGCTTAAATTTATTTATGTCGCTCTTTGCCAGTAATTTAGCAATTCTTAGAAGGATGAATATTTCGACCCCAATAAATCCACAGACCAGCAACTAATTGATGCTTCAGTTGCCGAAACAACCAACTGAATCATTAAAAAAATAGTTGGAAAATGTTTTAAATAGCTGAATAATTAGCGGCCAAATTTCAATGTTTCAAAGTTTGTAATTCATCAAACAGGAATGTTAGGACTTGGCTTGACATAATCTAGTTGAAAAGTATCTATTTCTCAACCGATTCTTCTGCACACGTCTATTTTATTAACGGAAACCCCAATCTTTAGTTAAGCTAATCTGTTACCCGATAAGATCTAAATTGGACTTGGAATGCTGCTGTTCAGTTTACACTTAATTTGTTAATTGGAAATGGTTTCTAATAATATATTAGACATACTAAAACGAGATAAAATCGATTTGGTTACCGAATTTAGAAGCGTGTACATATCAAATTAAATGGTTTGGTAAGGTTCCAAATTAAGAGGCTCTTGACTTGAAAATTAAATTGCAAAAGAGTGACTGGAAGGCAAACTGAAACAGAATTAATTTCTGCTGAAATGTGAAATGACTACTAAGTTCTACAAAATGATTTAATTTATACACATTAGTGAATTTAATCGTATTATTTTACATACTGAATGTTTGTTCCATGAAATGAAGGGTTCCAATGAAAAACAAGGGTTTTTTGCGTCTTTTGACACCAAAATATCAGAAAGATGCCAAATAAATTCAAATTTGTCGTACCATCTTCGAGAAACTAATTTTTAAATGCTTACTGTGAAGGATATTCTCATCCCCTACATACAAAATAGAGCATTTTTAGGCAGTCAAACTCAGTTTTACTATTATTTGAAACCCGCTTTTAAAGACTAGACATTTTTGAAGCCGGATTCCCACGAACTTGGTCGTGTACTTTTAAATCTCACGCTTATTTCTTTATCATATTGGTCCCTTTCTTATTCTTACAATATTTCATTTGCCACTTTTCCCGGCACTTCGAAAAGCATTATTAACATTTTCAACATCGCGCAAATAGTGCCAGATGCTGATAATTTATAACAACAATTAAATTTATTACACTTCTGTGTAATTTACTACACTGATACAAATGAGAAATACAACGAGTAAATATAAGTTCCCTTCACTTCACTCTCTGCATGCATTTTTGCCTGAATGCGAGAAAAATTTGATCAACTGTTGCGTTAACTTTCACATTTAATTAGCATGTGGAAATATATAAAAACCGATTTCGAACTCGAAATGCACTCCAATGAAATGTCGATAATTTCCGTGAAATAAAAAGTTAAAAAACCATTAAATCAAAGTACTGACTCAGCGTTTAAAAATGAACGATCACCGGACCGATAATGTTCCCTGAAGAAAAAAAGGCCGTAAATGTCTTACCTTAATATCGAAAAGGTAATTACAACGTCCGTAAGTATCTATAAATCTTTTGACACATACGTGAAATAAAAGAACACCAATTAGTAGTGGATTTGATCATATAGAAAAGGGCCGCAGTAAAAAAAACTCATTAATTCTAGAGGCGTGAAATAAGTTTTGTTTATAGACACCAGTTTAATGGGTTCGGCATGATGAAAAACATTGCTGGATACAACAGTATTAATTATTTACAATACCGGAGCGGATGTCGGCTAAAGGTTTTACAATTATTTACAGTGAATCATAGGAAACTTATTAATTGAGTTATAAATTAAATTAGATGCTCGGTTTTTTAATCACTTTTCAGTTATTATCAGCAGGTTGATGCAAGAACTTTAACCGGTTAATCAGTTTTCCCATTCCGATAAGATACGAAAAAAATGTATATAAAAAGGGAGAACAGGAAATTGACTAGAGCCGTTGAATGATTAATATTAGAACAAATTCCCACAATGAATTGAGACCTAAAAAATGTGTAAAAACCATTTCAATAATCGGATGCGATCACACGGTTATTCAGCATAGAGCGCAAAGTTGTTGGCGCTGGAAACGATACAACACCAGTAAAATCTTAGCTTATTTACCTATACATTAAAATGCAGGCCTTTATGGAAAACTTTTACTCTTAAATTGGTTTAAAGAGATTTCAACTGGTTCATAAACAGCCTTATTTGGATTTTAAGTGTCGGCAAACAGTACATCGCCGTTACAATGCAATCTGAAGAATGTGACATAATAACTTCAACTTAAATAAATAATACCATTAAAAGCGCTTTAAGTAGGTGAAGATAGTCGAGTGTTTGTTATTTGAACGTAATACAAATATCGTTTTATTTGTCGACTAAAAACGGTCGCATTATAGGAATACTGAACCTGGAAGTTAAGGAAATGCCCATTGGAAGATTGATAATAATCTGCACTTTGGTGGGAATCTCTTATTATAGATTGTACCCACAAACACTAGCACATTTTTAAATACAAATAAGCTGAATTTGGCCATAAAGTACAATTATCTGCGTTCCCAACTGAGAATTTTTTGCCCCGAACACTCACAACTTATAAATAAATATGAGACCCAGACGGTAAACGGGTAATTTACATCTAAAGGACAAACCAGACCAGGCATAAAATGAAATTATCAGTGTTGAAAAATTCAGTGACATTTATTTTTCCCGATGATCTGTTCGAAAACACTAAATAAAATTTTTGAAAACTAAATTCTTAAAATTTCTGAAGCAACAATTTTAAGGCGTGCAGATTAGCGTTATCCACTTTTGAAGTCCTTATTTAAGCCCATAGATTATTGGTTTTTGTCTGCCTAAGAGATGGAGTCCTTCCCTTTACTGGTACTAAATGAGAACAGTTTTCTTGAAGCCGGAAGAACGATATTTTTCTTTCATGATGGTGGTACGATCCAGTTTGCACGAATCTCTAATTTTTTAAATAAAAATGACCCCAAATTGCTCGACCCCCGCGATCTCCAGAACAGAACCCATTGAAGCTTTCATATTCAATCCTCGTTCTCAATTATTTAAAACACTAGAGAGTTTACGTAAGTTTAAGACTTTCTGGTTTTATTTGCTTCTTAAGATTACTCTTTGCCATTTCTATAACACATTGAAAATTATCAACAACGACTAAAAGTCATGTAAAACCTAATAGAAATTCTAGGATTTTTTCTGTTTCTGAAGGTCTTTAGCGAACAAGTAACTTTGGGTTTTTCACGTTCTTACGAGTTTCCATTTTTTATTAGTTTCAGTTCTAGATTTTAGCATTGTCTCAGTTTTAACATGCAGAGTTTCTATAAGATTACAGAACACATTTTCTTCAGATTTAATTAATGAGTTTAGGAATGATTTAGCTGACGATTCAACGTGTTCGAGCGTTTTCGTTGTACTTTAGAAGTGAATTTTACCAATAATTTTCTACTATTTATTCACATGTCAAGGGAAGTTTGTTATTAAAACATTTTAAAATTCCCATTCAGCATGACGATTAGATGCTCAACGGGATTATTTGTATTGAAGAATTTACATTTTCCAGCGTTTGATGTACGCGGAAATTGCATCATTTTAACCAATAAACAAAGATATTAAAACGTTCATGATTCCTAATAACCCTCACTATTCACTTAATAATATGAGCCGCAAAAACCATATTCAAGTACATGCATTTGTCGCGGTTGTTTACTTTTCCTTGAAACCTGTTCCTTTCTAAAAAAATCCTTTGCTACAATTTTGCAAAAGTTGCACTAAAAACTATCATAAATAAACGGTACAAATGATTTCACAAGACAAAAGTTGTACACCAAACCGACTTAATATATGTAACATGGTAATGAGGTGTTAACGTGCTGTCAACACAATCCATAATTCTGCAAGGCATGAAAACAATGTAAACGATCTTAATTTGCATTCAATTGTGCGATTCGAACATTTATCAACATTGACATAATGCGGGCAATACTTTAGTTATACTAATTACACTCATTACTTAACTAATTATTAGCTGTTTTGACTGACTCTAATGTAAGAGTGTGCGTTTCAACCATGATTAATTGTAGATTTTTAGTAACAGTAAGATTGTTTGCTTAAAAAAATGGTAAATCAACTCCGAACAAAAAGTGAAAGTTCCTAAATTGTTGCGGTTGTAGTGAGCAGATATCCAGGTATATTTTTGAAAACTCAATTATTTTTAGGTGTACACATTTATACAAAGTGTTTCGCAGTTGGCATTCCTCTGGAGGTGGGTATTTAGAGAACAGAAAAAATGGACAATTTCTCTTCTTATGTTTCGTTCTGTCAAGTCAGGCAACATCGAAAGAAAGCAGGAAACGAGTTTATAAGAAGGATAAAAAATAAGAGCAGAATAAATGTAGCATCCAAAACACGCATAAGCATAGGATATTCAAAGAAATGCTTACAAAACTTCAAACACTCAAAAAAGTAACTCATAAATTTCGAGTTGAAAGCAAAATGTAGTTGATCACAGAATTTTGCTATTAATAAAAACTCTTCGCTTATGATAATCGCTTATGGTGATTACCCGAAAACTAGCTTACGTTTCATCAAAATTATGTTCCCGATTTTCATTTGCTTGTCAGTTTTAAACTCGCTATCAGCACTATTAAAAAGGATAAACGGTTAGAGTTAATTTCACCAAATTGAATTTGCAGTTGTGCGATTATTGTGGTCGATACTATTCAATTTTCCAACGTTCTATGATCAGCCCACATCATGCGAGAAACAGATAGAAATTGCAATGTACGAAGGATTTTATCCATAGTTGGGTTAGTATATTATTCAACATTCGTGTTGTTCCCGTTTATATGGGCCAGCGCGAATTCGGTGCCGAACAATTTTATCGAAACTCGATACAAATTCGTTACTCTATGTTGGCCTGTAATTGCATATTCTGCAAATTAAATTTCCCATTTGAAGTATTTAACAAGTCTGGAAATTAGTTTACCAGCGAAAGAACAGGTCGGGAGAGCGCAAATTACGGGCATGCATCTGCTTACCAAAAGTATCTGTTGCTGAAATAACACCTATGAAATTAAGCACTTCGCTTGTTTAGATCCAGCTTGTAGTTTAGCATTTTCATTTTTCAACTGTGCAATTACAGAATTTGCGTAATGCACCGAATCACCTGCATGTGCATCGATATTTTTAGTTCGGTAGGTACACACACCACTCCGCAACTGTTTGCATTAAACATTCCATTTTTGCTTATTTTGCATGCGCAAAACCCAGTTTAAATCATTTTTCATTAACACGCCATACGAAATGTATTTGCTGATTACATTCAAATGTGTCGCATTCCAACAAGATTTACTATACTCCTTAAGCAGTGAACTGATATGTTCTTAGCGACTTAATCCGCATCGAAAATAAGCAATTTGAAGCTATTTTTAATTATATACCTACTGTTAAAAAGTGGCAGAATTACTTACATTTAGAATTGTCGAAATTCTGTTTGGAGGGCAACTAGTCCAGCTCAAATCTGCATTGACTATCACTTGGCATTCCTGAACTCCTCAGCTCTATGCAGTAGAAAATATGACGAAAAAAAGAAGTTCTTATATAAATAGTTCGCTAATTTCATTCGTTAATGGTGTGAGCACATACAAAAAAAAAAATTCTGTCTCCAACTAGGAGATCCTACTGCGGCCTGCAATATTTTTTGCTTCAATAATTGTAGAATTTCATGTTTGGAGTTTCGGAAGATGAACCTTTCTTCATTTGATAGTAAGCAAAACTCCATTTCTATTTTCTTGTATTCGCGGAATAATATCAGTGTTAAATGACTGGAGTCGAATGTATATTTAGAAATTTTATTATTTCACCAGCCAACGTTTGCAAGCTACCTGGTGACGTGGTGGAGACGACATTTTTCAAAAAAATCTTAAAAGGGTTCCTGACTTTAGAAAGACTTGGGAGGCCCACCATTTTAAAGCGAACAGACCTCGAAATCAGCAGAAACAGAAATAACTGTGATGTGCGGACTGTGCCTGTGAGTGTGAGTTACAGCTAAACTATGTTTGGTAGCTTTCTAAAACACTCTCATTCTGACTCTCCACATAACCCAGCTGAAATTTGCACGGTTCTATAGGTAGATTTAGTGAAGTGCGACGGGCACACAAAACGGTAAAACCCGCTGTTTTTACCAATTTAGTACGATAAAAATTCCTGTACAGCGATAAAATGTTTAGAATTATTATGGTGGAATAAACTCGGACGTGTGTGTGTAATAATATAAATCTTTAACCGCGTTTCGTTTATTTCGCCCAAAATGTTAACATTGTGTGGGAGGACGCATTCCTTGCTGTGTGTTAAAATAATGCCATTGTGTAGAGCGAACTGGCACAGTGAGAACCTTTCAAAAAATTTAACGACTGCCATAAAAACTTACTGTTACTGTGGTTTGCGCTAGTCGGTCCATGCAAATATCCTTTGATCAAGCGATTGTCATCTAGGCTACAAAGCGACCGACAATATGATAGTGTCTCGATCAAAATGCTTTCGTAAAAATGTGATACACCTGTCGTGCTTTTTATAACTTTTTGTTATAAAAACTGACTGGAAAAAGTCCTTGATGGACGGTAGATACAATTTTAAAATCCATATTATTATAGTTTTTAACAGGAAACAGAAAAAGACAGTTTAATGTCTTACTGCTGTTACATGGAATAGAATATGAGAAGTTGGAAAATTTATTACATTATCGGTTAATCGAATCTACAATGTTTTTAATAATTGTGCTTCTTGTAATTTTGCTAAGAATTGGCAGAGTCCTGGACCTGCTAGTCAGTAGTCATTTTCTTCACTCGTTTCCAGCAAAAAAGGTTTTGATTATTCTCAAATTCGAAATCAAATTCAATTCCTGGGTCATTTATTGTCTATTTATATTTTATATATGCCAAGGCTTAAAGTAGCAACAACGCTACACATAGAAACTGATGATGGTGGAAAACACCGAAACGTATTTTAATTGATAAATACACAATAAATGACTGAAGCCCAGGAATTGATTTTGATTTGGAATTGAAACACAGTCAGGAAAGTATGTACAATTATTCTCAAATCTGAACACTTACATATGCTAACCGAATATACTTTTTTATTTTTATTTTAAACCTCAGCTAAGCTGGAAACTGCCCATCTCTGCTTCTGAACTGTGATTAACAAAACCAAACTGATGTGCAAAACAAAGCATTACTTCCTGATTTTTCCCAAAATAACTTCATTCAAAACTTGTACTGTATTTCAATATGCCTACCTCTACAAAACCTGACATAGTTTCGATTCAAATCTGATCATTAAATGCGTCTAACTTGTATGCCAATTTTCGTAAATATTTGCATGTACATAAAGTTGGAATGTTCGGAATGTCACCTGTCGAGCTGATAAGGAATTTTTACTTTGCTGAAACTGGCAAATTTATATACGTAAGCTTTGTAAATCAAATTTTCGGTCGTCACGTTGCGGATTTTAATTAGATTTTTGTAAATATGCAAAGGTTCATCTATCAGCCCAGGAATGCGGCGAAACCTGATACTGTCGGATAATTTTTTAATTTGGGATTACAAAACTGTTGTAATCATGCTCGAAAATCCGATATGAAGTATTTTAACGACATACTTAATTGTGCTTGATATAAATTTTTTTGCCAAAAAATGCGGCAAATAAAACTGCCATTTTAGCAAACTTGATTTGTCGTTTTTCACAATTATATGACATGAATACATATTTTTTCCATGGGCTACGCCTTTTCAGATCATCTTCTATCATTGAGAATTGCCATTTATTGGCGCAACTAATTAAAAATGTATTTATTTACAAGTAATTTGAGATTGCGTTTTTGAAGAATCTAACGTTTTCTTGTATTTACAGTTAGCACCTGCCCAGAAAAAAATCCATTTAGGCAACTTTTGCACATTTTTCACTCTAGAAGCCTCGCATATAATTCCATCTAAATCAGATGCTAATTAGGAAAAAAACGGTGGTTTAAAATTTCAGGAGCATCAGGTTCAAAGGCCCCAGCTTATAAGTCTTCCAAGTTTAAAGTATTAGGGAATGCCTTAGTTGCTCCATGTATAAATCCGTCCAACGTAAATACCGAATTCTAATTGAAAATGAATGTTAAAACCCGCTCATCAACAAATCAGTCGTGAACCTGAGAGCATCTTTGACCGGGGAAAACATATCAACTCCATACAACGAAGATTAAAAGACTGGCTATTAGTTAATAATTCAAAAATTCAATAGCGAAAAAAACGCATTTTCGCTCTGCTTTTCGAACAGTGATTTAAATTGCTGAAGGCAATGAATTGCAAGTTTACGAATCAAACTGAAAAAACATTCTACGAGCCGACTTCACAGGCTTATTGATTTAGTGCGGATAACTTCACCCTCGAATTTTTATATATCAAAGGATAGCGAAAACTTTAAAACAACGCTAATAAAAAGCACAAATGTTGGCAATATTTTGCAATTGTTGTTGCTTTAGGCGAACGTTTCACACACCGCTGTCCGAACCCAAATGCATTTATTAAGTTAAATATCTTTCTGTTGACTATTTATTTAATACCGCTCAGAAACGTATGAGTTTCCACTTGGAGGATTGATCGAGTTAAGACATTTGATCTTTACCAAATAAGAATTTTCTACTAGTCGAGTCTTGAGAACATTGCTAGGAAGTGTTTAAGAAAAACATAAAAATTCACTCGCAAAACTATACAATTGGAGGAAAACCCACTCTGTGACTCAATTTTTATATATCAAAGGATAGCGAAAACTTTTAAAACAACGCTAATAAAAAGCACAAATGTTGGCAATATTTTGCAATTGTTGTTGCTTTAGGCGAACGTTTCATAAACCGCTGTCCGAACTCAAATGCATTTATTAAGTTAAATATCTTTCTGTTGACTATTTATTTAAGACCGCTCAGAAATGTATGAGTTTCCACTTGGAGGATTGATCGAGTTAAGACATTTGATCTTTACCAAATAAGAATTTTCTACTAGTCGAGTCTTGAGAACATTGCTAGGAAGTGTTTAAGAAAAACATAAAAATTCACTCGAAAAACTATACAATGGGAGGAAAACCCACTCTGTGACTCAAATCGATTTAAAAAAAGTACCTTAATATATGTACAACCACACAAAACTTTTTGTGTGAAGACTTTTTGTGCCATACAAATTTTGCCTTTTTTGGGATGCATCACCTCGTAAACGCGCCATTTAAGGAGTGAATTGTTTATTAAAAGAAAATTGATTCCACTGATTCCACATTTGATAGTTGCTCAAAAGTCCTCCAAACTGACCCAAACGCTATGAGATACTTTCGATAGATCGTGATGATCGATGAAACGTTCGAAACGAAAATAGCAGAGTGGCAGTAGATGCAACTATTTTAATCCCATTTAAAAGGCAAACGCAACTGTGATGCCATTAAACGATCATTATTGATAATGTCAAGTAAATAAACAAAGTTAACGATTTGCCACCGAACCGTATTGTCAGCAGAACCATTAAAATTTCACATTTCACTGTCGACAAATCGCAATTAATGAGAGGGTAGGAAAGCAGGAAAGTGTGTACCCGAAATTTGGCTTTAAACAGAATTCATCAGACCGTTCCTGTTGTATTTATTTTAATTTCAAATGTTACAAACCGCATCGTCATGTTTTGCGGACATGGTGTGGCATCAGTGAAATATGCGGAATGTTAATATCAAATGGGTGTCTATCGAACGGTCAGATTTGTATAGTGCTATTAGCTGCCCATTTAATCGATGTCACGTTTAAACGATAACTGAACATTTCATACCCTTCAGCTGAATGTATAAACTAGTATAAACTACAGCAGCAAAAAGCGAACAATGAAAAAATCGATCAGTGTTTGAAAACCAAATTGCTACTTGCATAAGAAATATAAAATAAAATAGAGCGACTTTAAATTTTATAATTCTGGATATTGGAATTTTTCTTCAACATTTTGCCGATTCTTGCTATAACAAACAGGTGCATCAATAGTTTTTTCATTTATAAACGCGATTTTGTAAAATAGCGAAAACCCACTTTCCAGGATTTAAGGTTTTATTATGCTTTGAAATTTTTTTTTTTGGTTTCGGTTCTGCATCTAAAATTTCGATACTCCAATTATTAGGTAGTGAAAAAATAGCTTAAGTTAATTATTCCTGGAAAATAATACGCCGGCTTGGAAATTAACAACGCAAACTGTAGGATGATGATTATTTCTATTTAGTTAATTCATCATTTTGCATAAATAATCAACTAAATATAAAATGTGTCGATTGTTATGGTAGTTTTTGCCCAGCAATTTCCAAATTGACATGTTTACTCGCCTTCGGTCCGCGTTTTTGTCAAACATGTTAAGACTGAACCGCTCAAATACAAAAAACTTGAATGGTAACCTACAAGAGTATTCGGTGACGCAAAATTTCTGATTTAGGATTATTGGACGTGCTGATTTTACATGAACAAACGGAAGCAGTTAGAATTTTTTATAAACAAACAGAAAAATATTTGGCTTTTTGCCAGACAAACTATTCACTGAATTTGATGTACTCATTGGGAAGGAGAGCTTGAAATTGTTATCAGGATTTCCCCGTTCTGAATATTTAACCGTTTAAATACCCGAGGATATCGCCGCACTTCAAAAACATTTTATATAGATTGCCAACATGTTTCATTATTGCACGCTTTCGCCTCGAAGTTTCCAAAGGAATCGGAGAAACAGGTGATTTAAAATAATGATTAGATCAGTAATATGCCGAATTTATCTCTTCCGGATCTTGCGACGATGTTCGTTTTCATTTTCTTCGCTTGATTGGTTTTAAGTTCAATATTATTCCATAAATTTCACATTTTTATTTAAACAAAATAAGTTGAAATTAGGTATGTAGCAAGTTATTTTTACAGATTTTTTAGTATTGAGCTATGATGTCTTTCAGCTTTAATTGCCGTCCAGTTCGCTGTTGTAAGCAGGCAAATAAAAAGTACAATCACCCATGTCGTAACCGAATTTTAATAAGCACTGATTGGATTATGTAATTGAAGGAATGACAAATTCCGGGCACTAAAACTCCCGTTAATTTCATAGTTATTTGCACATAGAATAAGGTCTGTATTTTATTTTCTGTACAAATGTGTGTTGGATCGGTTTGACCTAAGGCGAGGTCGATAACTGACTCGTCAGGTCTATTTATATTAATTTCAATTATTTGGCGACAATCGCTTTCAATTGATGATAATAACTGTGTATTTTGGAACTATTTATAAGAATTACTTGATATTTTTATGTAAAGTAACATCAATTTGTCAATAGTTTATCTCGCAAAATACATATGGATTTAAAAAGCAGGCAGGGTTTAAAATGGATAAGGATGCGGAATGGATAAGGATGTGTTTTGCGTTTGTTATTGTTTTTGTGTAAATGCATAGAACGCGAACTTGCTGACTACGACAACTCTTTTAAATATAGCAGCAACGTCACATAATTATGCCCTAAGAGGAAACTCTTAATTATTGTGCTGTAGCGGACTAAATCAAAACTCACAGAAAGTAGGGTCCTTTCATTAGAACGTAGTTCACAGTAAAGCATAATGAGATAAATTTGCTTTGCAATTGTTAAATATTGAATAACAAGGGTTAACAGCCAGAAGTATAATATGTGTCTTTATTAAGTTATACGATCTTAACTTATCCCTATATTTTGTTACGATCGTTACAAGTGTGGGACTTTTCTGCAAGTTTCCAGTAATCCCAATTTTCCATTAATTCTCATTATAGCACTAAGGGGATACAACTAAATCCAGCAGCTTTTCTGATTGCTAAGTTTTCGCGTTGTGGCGACTTTGAGTAATGAGAGGAGTTGTTAAAATTGGAAAATTGAATGATAACTTTATTAAAGAACAGTATGGTATAAGATAAATAAAAGTACATAATATGAGGTTTCCTTCCAGACATTGTTTCGAAGTCCTAATGTATTTCTGATTGATCCCAATGTTTCTCTGAAAAAGAATGGCCTTTTTAATGATCATGTTGGTCAGAGTTGATAAAATGGTACTTTGAAATTTTCAATTAAATGTTTTGCTATCGTTATTATGTTAACGAATGTTTCTGCACACTACATGAGATCAGATTGATTAACAGAGAAAAATTATGTTTATTAATTGTTTTAGAATCCTGCCAATTTTCTACAGTTATCAACTGCGATTTCCTGTTTCTTTGTCATCTTTGAACTATAATAAAATTACACTTTTCATTCAGCCGAACATTTTACTTCAACTTTTAATTTTCTTTCATGGCTAGTTCATAAATAGCATTTTGAATATTTATAAACTCTTCACACCTTGCAGTTTCAAAAGCCAGGCCAAGAATCATAAATTTCCGACGAAATTCTCATTCATAAACAAAGCGCACAGCTAATATGCGCCTTGGAATCGATTATTAAGTCTATTTTCATCAGTGTGTATAAAATTTAAAAATAAACCGTAATAATCTACCTCGTGCCAATAACAATTTGTCAGTACTCGAATACGTGATAGTATTTTCATGAGTTTAAGTTTAACTGACAGGTTGGATGTACATTGGAAGTTATTCCCATTGGTAAGGCGAAATACATCGATTTTTAGCGTTAGATGCTTTTTCAAGGGAGTTTCCGTCCTTAAAAAAATCTATGATTAAATTCCCAATCTGCTTAATTCTTCAAGCCTTTTTTGAGCCTAATTTTTTTGTTTTTTCAGATGCGCGTAAGGTATGCAACAATTCCCTACTGCTTTTTCATAAATGCAAACAATTTTATCATTTTCTCCTTGAGCAACAGCTGCAGTTTGAATACGCACGCAATATAAACGACGCTCAAATGTACGTGCATTATTATAAGAATACAATACTTCCCATTATGTAATAAAATCGATTAAAAGCTCTCCCAAACATGGCCATAACAAATTTCATTCTTTCTATATAATGAACGGGCGTTTCGCCAGTTTTCTCATGCAATTTTATGCATAAATATTGGAAAAAACTCGTGACTAAAACATGCAAACGACTTTAATAACTACAACAAAACCTGGGCACCAATTCAACTTAATACCGCATTGTTGATGTTAGGGGAAAGCTAATATTGTATTAATGAGTAATTTCCGGGAAAAAACTGGATTCCACACAAATTGCACAATATTAAAGGCATCAACAGTATCTAAACGTATTATTAGGAATAAACCCAAAAGTTGGCAAAAAATCCCAAACTTATTGCCTATTGTTCCCAACGAAACAATGATATACTTAGCAGGATACCAGGTCTCGCGCAAATATTAGATTTATGAATTTCCTGCAGTAATAATGTGCATAACTTCGACAGTTACATCTTATAAACGCCATTTTGTTGGAGCAGGAAGCACTGTTTATGGAAATTGTTATTCAGATATGTAGATACTATAACACCGTATATTTTGAATTGGACAAATAATACAGCGTTAAATACTTTTTGACTGTTGGTGACTAAAAATCTCACTTAACCTCGTGTACCAACTATTCTTGACCCAAATTTTCTTATCTTATCTAATAGTGTTTAGCTGAATATGGAAATTCGTAAAATATTGTAAGCGCTTTCCAAATAACCACGGTTTTACCAAGGCTTCGTTTACAAGTTACGGGTTATTTAAAGCAAATGTACGGTCTTGCACTTGTGTATTGTTTGCTTTCGCTGTGCATATTAGAGCAATCGAAATCCAAACTTTAATACAAACATTATTTTCGAAGATAGAAACCATCAGAATTTCAATAATAGTTTCATCAAACTAAATATTTTCAGTTGATTCGTAACTTTTTCTGAGCCTAAATAATGTATTCGTTATTAGAATATCGCGAAATAATTGGATATTGCTTTTCTCCATGAAACTAGCATGAAACCTCGATCTTTTACAGCCAGAGACAAACTCCGATGAAATTGGCTGCATGAACGATTTAACTGCTAAAAACCAGTTCGGATATCTTGACCGGAAACTTCGACAAGTTTTCCTTTTGACCTAAAATGCGATTTTTTTTATTAACACTTCTGGCATCCGAAAATGTGAGTTCGTGAATTAACAACTAATTTGTCAGCACAAAATTTAAAACTCGCATTGTAACTGTTCAAATATTTCCCATATTGTAGGTACTGATCGTAAGATTTTGGTGAAAAGACTAGGATTACCTTGAATATCGAATAAATAGCTGTGGATTTTATCGTAAAACGTTTCCAGATTTTGTGAAGACGAAACCCATAAAATACGAAATAGTAAATATACTTATTGCAAATGACAAGCGTGAATTTGCGATATTATAAGCGAAAATTATGAAACCTACATCTAAACGTGTGAAAAACGAATGTGAAACATTAACGATTAGTGAAAGATCTGTTGAAGGTCTTAAAAAACCCAAATCCTTTTCACGCCTCATTCATCTCAAGCAAGATCCTTATGCCAAAAGACAGGCCAGGGGGCTTTTCGTTAATGAAATAACAAACATATTTTTTCATAAAAAAAACAGATGAACTTTTAACAAATTTATTGACGAATGATTTTTCACACCTAGTGGAACATTTACTGACATATACATAATGGATTTACAGCATGATAAAGCTCCAGCTTATTACAACTTTAATCGTGAGAGAACGCTTTAATATAGTTTTCCCAAATAAGAGGCATGGAACAGGAGATTTTCCAATTAAAGTCTCGTAGGTCAAAAGAGCAAAAAAATGATAAAATAATGTTGGTTTACTGCATTCTGTGCGCGAATTGCTCATTAAAAGCCTTCACTTAAATACAAAAAAAATATAAATTTTCGTGAAAAAACTGCAGGTTTGAAACACGTCCGGAGAGTCTATAAACATCTAAAATGCATTTGCATCGCCCCGCATGATTCACCAAGTTGGAAGAAAAAAATTCCGACACTGTATACGCGATATCCGCTCCATGAAGCATTTTTCATATTGAAATGAGTTGCCAAATTCTATTTTTATTCTACCTCAAATAAAACTTCATTCAAATGTTGAAACATCCACAGACAGGCTTGAAAGTGTGATAACAACCTGATAAACCCATATCCCAATTCAAGATTTGTTGTATATCATTCCAAGAATCCAAGTACTTCAGACTGATAACATATTTTATACAATGGTTTACAAGTCGGTACATGTAGGATGCATGGTGTTTTTATTTCAAATTTTTCGATGACCTGTAAATAGTGACTGGCTTCAAAAAATATACTTATACAGAGTGTCTCATACATTTTCAACCTCACGTACTAGACTCGTATTGTCGAAGGTTTACGGGATACCCTGCATACGATCCTGGCGATTGTTTTAGAAAATTCATACAGTGGAATATAAATTTATCTATTTCTGCCTTTCTGTGCATTTTTTAATCAAAATATCATTAACCGACTGTTGATGAACTTTGTATCTAAAGCTGCTGGAACGTTTTATTGCTACACTACGCATAATTCTACACCCATAAAGCAACAATACAACCAAGTGTTTTGCAACTTGTAAGGCAGACATGTCTAGTAAGCAATCGTATAATTAGCACTTTGTAGATTTGCGAATTTAAGCCTACATATTTAAATGGTTAATAAATGATCACCAGATCGAATAATCATTGCAGGTTTGAATCCCTTTTAAACGGTAACAAATTTTTTTAAATAAATTGTAGCTGATTGAAGTTTCCATGTATTTTCGGCAAATCTAATAGATATTTTGTGATTAATTTTTTCGTGAACACGTGTACAAAATGCGATGTTTTCATTAAATTAATGTTATTAACATTAACGTTATTAATTCAGCAAGAAATCTTCTATGGAGGGTGTTTGTGTACAAACTTAGATAGGTACTAGCTAGATATTTATTAAGTACTACCTACTAAAGTGTTCATTTTATTATGACTAATGTTATTAACAAGTTTTGTTTATTAGCATTCGAACTCTTAACAGAAGAACGCACGTGGGACAACACTGACAACAGTACGTAAATGCTAAAACAGGCGAATCAAGAGAATAAATAACTGGAAATTTTAGCATTTAAAAATTAACGTATTATTTCCCCGGGAAAACATCGAAAAGAAGCGAAGTTCACTCGACCCAGTTTACATTTTTCAAAACAGTGAAATAATTTTTTGTCATCAACAATTTCTTCCGAAGGCCTTTGAAACCGCCTGATTTTGTCATTCAAACCTTAAACGGAACTTCCATTGCATTATTAGCGGAGCTAAAATGCCAATGATCCACTTTTTCCGCTGGTTTGTCAAATAATTTTCGCAATCGAAAAATCACACAACAAAAAGCGCATCTTGAGTTCAAAATTCCGCGGTTACAACGAAGCGAAACATAATTGAATCAGTTTAGAATTTAGAACTTAGTAGTAGTTTATTTGACATTTTTTGCTTATTTTCAGTAGGGAACGGTATTGCTTCTCTGTGAATCCTTTGCTCTAATATTGAGCCTGATTGAAAAAAGTAATCTTTTTGCGTCTACAAGTGTAATGCTTCAATATCTACATATAGCGATTATCTGCCCAACATAAATGTCGTAGAAAATCCGCACTAATAACATCTGCTTGATGAATCGACTGGTAGGGACTTAAATGTAAGCAGAATTTAGGCGAATTCACTTCTGATCCGACCTCAAGGTCTTGGTCAACTGTGGGCTTAAAAATACCCAAATGACGCACCAAAACCCTTATCTCCTTTATAGGCACCTTCGTTTTAGTACAATCTAGCCATAGACGCCGTTTTAATCGTATATTCGCATTTTTATCAGGTAACTAATGGCAATCATATCGTTATCACCGCCGTTCTAATCCCGCTTCCAAATAACATACGCACCAAACGATTTGTATTTATACAATTGGGGAATTTTGGGTCTGCAAATTGCGCCGCTTGCTTGCTAAAAATATGAACTTACCTAATTTGAATCCGAGATGGAAGAGCAGCCAAAGTGTAAAAAATCCGTGCATGTTGCTTCCTGGGTAAACAAAGTCTATTTATTAGTAAACTGGCATGGGAATGCGAACTTCGCACTATCGTATACCGAAGACGTGAGATAACCGCACACCGCGAACGTATCACATATTAGGACGAAAAATTCGTTTAGCCCGGAACGGTACCGCCGAAGTAAAACTCCGGGAGAATACGCGGATTTAAGGTTATGATTTTACTGAAATTATGTGGACCACACTTGGTACATTCATTAATAAATACGCCGGCAGACTGACTTAACCGAGGAAGCGGCTTAGCCGTGTTAAACGGTGTTTGCATACGTTGTTGCCGCATTTTGTTGTTCGCGTTTTTTCTGTAGGTTCCCATCAGCTCTAAGGAACCTTTGATACAGGAATAAAAACTTGGGCCCCTACATTAAGCGCCCGTGACTTACAGGTGTAGGTACCACATTGGCGAGTACCAAAGATTACAAGGAAAACCGTATTTAATTTTCGCAGTTCCCAAACAGGAACTTTGTCATTAAGATTTATTGTTAACGTTAATGTTAACGTTTTACGTTATTTAATTTATCGAGCAATTGCGAGAATGCTGGTTTGGTCCAAAGATCCAAAAGCAAAGTTAAGAAAGTTCCAAAGACTAAAATTGCCATTACATTTTGGTCTTATAAAGTTTAATGTCCAAAAATTTCTTCACAGAATTGAAATCGATTGCTGGAAATTTTCGTAGCTTAGTTTCTCGACAGTGTGATTGGACAGTGGGCGTAAATATCTGAACGTCAAGCTATTCTTGAATTTAAATTAATTAATCATACTGAATTCGAGGACACTTTGTTGTTTAGATTCGGTCCTCTAAGTAGTAAATAATTGGAGAAACTAAAATTGTATATAATAATTATTATTTTCAAAATGACTTACAATCTCTGATCCAGATCAAACAGACTTGGAAAAGCGGATTTAAAAGTGTTTAAGGTGGTGTTTAGGGTGTGTAATTAATGATTGTAAATTTGCTTAGTATTAAAATAAATATGTAAAATACAAAACTATTACACAAAATACCCAGCAGGTTAAATTGCAATGGTAACACATCTGCTCTACAATTATATGGATATTGAAAATGGCTTTAAAAATAGAACAAAGTGTACTCAGACACGCATTTTGCCTCCTTTTCATCTTAACCCTATTTGGCAAATCACAACTGCAGTTTGAAATTAAAGTTGTTGCACCAGCTTCATGATCATCCTAATGCGAACAAACCACTGGAGAGATTTTTTTGTTCATTATGTTGCATTAGATGCATAATTGGTGAAAGGAAATGGAAAGGAAAAAGAATAGAAACACACCACTACAGGAAGTACCTGAACCCAAATTTTTGTAAAATCTTGTATGGAAGAATGATCTATTAACCAATATGAAACAGAAGACCTTTTCAAATTTTAGTTAAAGTAGCAATCAATTGCAGAATTACTAAATTCCCATTCACAAGTTCTTCAAACGAATATTTCAGAATTACCATTGTCACAAGCCAGTATTTCTTTGTCTGGGGGTTTAAAAAGTAAGCGCAAATGACGAAAAAAGCAGGAAACTGGTGCTTTGCACCTAAAATAAAACGAAATTGTCATTTCATTTATTCCTGCACTATAGATAAACTTGCATTGCGTTCTAATAACATACTCTCGGTTACAAAACTACTTTGTATGCAGAAATGAACACACATGAACTCTCTGCTACAGTGTTAAATTCAACACCTCTTTTCCAAGTTTTTTTGCAGCAGCAAAAAACTAAAATTAGTTATAGAATAAGAATTTTTTAAAATTTTTTACAAAATTGACTTGATTGAGGCTCAAATTATTTTAAAGGTGAGTTTCTCGCTCAACAAACCAATAAACATAAAATATTTGACAAAAGTTCTCATGTGTTTACGATAGAAGCTTACCTACGATAGCAGCTTAATACTTTTATCGACAATTTTTTCTCATTCTGTAGCTTGTCGTTACCTAAAGTTTTACAATGCGGGAGGTCAGAATATTAACGTACGTATTTCCCTAAAATTCTCATTAAAATCGATAAAATAATGCTTCTATTTCTCTTACAAGATAGCGTTTCAGTACTCTATACAGCACATATTTTTTCACAAATTGAGTTTTATGAACAAGGGGCAATCCTTGGGTCTTGTTAAGTACTAAATATAATTCAATGGAATTTTATTTGAACTTATGGAACTTTTGGCTTATAGAAAATGTGCAGGATTTTTATGTGGTGCAATGGCTAAAATATTGCTGATATCAGCAGCAAACGAGTGAGTGAATATTTATTAACTATGAACAACTGGGAAGGTACACTTTTGAAAATTTCCGCTATTCAGTAGTTCTGATTTTTTTCCAAGTTTTTTGCAATTTTTATATTGATTTGAATCGACTTCACCTAAAAAACATTTTAATGTCAATCTATAAGCACCCCAAACAGCTATGTTTCATTTCCAGTTAGAATTGGCCACAAAGTTAATGCATTTATCAAGATCTAGCTAATTTTAGTTTCCCCGGACGCCTTTATTCTTTATTTAAGCAAACCTAATGCTGCAGCTCATTAGGATTACAAAGGTTGGCGCATTCTGAAAAATATTCACTTCGTGGAAATGAAAAGACGGTCGAAAGGAATAATTCAAGAGGAAACCGGGAAAGTACAAGTGAAAATGCAGGGCTGAATAATGTGTTGTCGTTAAAAACTGAGCCAAATCGTCGATAAAATAAAAATATTCCTCATAGAAGTGAATAAGTTCTTAGAAATTATGGAGAATTACTTTAGGCAATTTTGTGCTCAAGGTTCTTCATTCATTTAAATCCGCTGCTCTGTTTGGAAGCGTAATCTGTTGTAATTGCCAACCACCAGGTGGGTGCTAACAAGAATGTGGAATACAAGTGTATTTGATAATTCGTTATGATTACTCAGATTTTCGAGCTGCTCCGGATTGGATTTCAATGCAAATTTGCCCTTTAGACCACTTTGGTCTCTCAAACCCTCTAACCTGGCCATGATTTGCCGAACCATTGAAAATGAGTAAAGCACGGCAACGTAGCTAGCAGAGAGAACTCGATCTACTGTAGGCAAAAAAAATCTGATAAAACTGATAGCTGCACAGGTCATGAAAAAACGGCAAGGTGCGGTAACTTTTCGATACCTAACGATAATTTAGCTTCTTAGGCAGTGCCCTTTCTATACTAGCTGTAGTTCGTGCAGGCATAATTTGCCTATTCGTAGAAGCTTTTTGCAAATTGGCATCCGACCTATTTCTTCGATTTCCACCCCAAAGTGTAATGCCTGTGCACGATGTACTTCCTTAAAGTAATCATTAGGGAAGCAAATTGAATCCTTTCACACTACTGGTTCAGTTCAATAATGGAAATAAATCGCAAACCTTTTTGGTGACATTTTTTATTAATAAATAATATGCTTAATAAACTTTAGATCGCGATTTTCGATCCGTTGCAAACCTACGACACATGCTTTTAATAGTCCGGAAGAAATTACTTCTGAAATTTTAATTCCAGGAAAATTAAATAAAACACATCGTTATTCATGGGCAATATACTTTTATCGCATAAAGCACCTTTTTTACGAGGCCTCGCATTATCTTAATTCGACATTGAATCTTTAAAGTCTTTAAATATCAATATCATTAAAAAAGTTGTTTTGAAATGACGTGGAACAGGACTAAAACAAATAAATTAAATTTATTAGCATTGTGGAACTGGGTTGGCGCCACATGGCGATTGATTTATTTAAGGTGAAAGTGCTAATTTCGATTGTAAACATTATAGGAGCATTAGCTCCATCGGTTTCTCTAAATAGGCAGGTAAATGATCGCAATTATTATAAAATTGGAACGAAAAACAAACCGATTACGATCCGACGCATTTATTGTAATGTTGCCAAAACCGGTAATTATTTCTGAAATTATTATTGGGATTTGCCAAAAAACGCAAGCTTGTTGCACTTTTCCAACCTTGAAGCCAGTAACTGCCGTTAAAATGACTACCAAGTAAATCAGGGACGGACCTCACATACGCAAACTAATATGATTATTCCTTGCATAATAACTTGAAGCTTTAATTGTAAAAAAATTATTGGAAAACCTAAAATATGAAATTTTATGTGGAAAGTGGTACTATCAGAGGCTTGTTAAAATGTTTCTTCTGTCTCTGGCTCTATGGAAAAACAGACTCCCAAAAACACCATGATAATCGTTTTCAAACAATTGATATAATGCCACAACCCTCTATCCTGCAGACGCTAAAATTATAGTTTGAAGGATTTTTAAATCAGTGAAACTGTCCCTTAAAAATCACTGTTTGTGATGACCTTAAAGGATTGTAGAGATTTTCGTACTCGTGTTATTGATCCGAACAATTCTAGTTATTCTAGTAGTTTTTCTTGGGTCTAAGCCTTTTTCCCATCCTTGTAGAAGTTTCTTAAAAAGAACACATTTTTTCTTATAGAAGCTGGTTTAGCGCTCCAACTGAACACGCACAGACGGTTGAAGATTGAAAATGTTTAATCGTATGTATGTGCCAAAGTGCGAGCATCCCTTTCATTAAATGACTCTAGGGTGAAATTCAAACTCGTGACACAAATTTCCAGTTTTTCGCTGCATTTTGCAGCATTCTAAAGGCTGTTTTAAAACACCAACAGAACGCCTTTCAAACGTATGATAGTCCCAAATTACTTTCGGTTTCTGATTTAGCTGACTTTTATCCAGAATCCATCGTTCCTGTTTTTCGCGTTTCCTCCATTTTAAAAGGAATGCAGTGCTGCTTCTTCAAGTGAGATATTCTGCAAGTGTCGCCTGTAATTTCTTTTGAAATTGCCTGGATGTATGATGCTTTATGCTGCCCGAGTATTTTATTTTTCTTCGCGGAAATGGCATTTTTTATCACACGAAGGAAAATATGGGGCAAGGCGTTCCGTTGAACATCGCGATGGCAATTTAAGTACATTTTTATATAATCTAGCTTAAGGGATAGAAATGAGTTATATTTACGGACGCAAAACTTTTAGAGTCTGTAACACATATGTAGGCATAAACCATTAAATAAGTATGGTTAACGTTAATGAATATATGTATGTATTCGATTTCCAATAACTGATATCGAACTCGCATTTGCTGATAAATATGCAATTAAAATTCCTACACAATAAATCACTGTTAAGTATCTATTGGTAAATCATTATTTGCTTATTACCATCATTTTTCGCAGTGAAATTATGACACCATAATTAAAAGTAAAATTGAA